TGTCTGGCCCAGAGTGAATATGCAGTAATATTTAAGGAAAGAATATATAGCAGCAAGTACGCTTGTCAGAATTACTCATTTTGTACTTCCCACTGCATCAGAATGACTGAGCATGAGATGTACACTAATTAAATACTGACCCTACTTTCACTCTTCAAATCAGTAAGGACTATATTCTAAAAATAGGATTAGTGAAGATACCCATCTGGCAAATGAACTGGAATCATAAAGGACCCTCACTATAATTCCAAACTTAAGGGGCTTGATTAACTTATTTTACATTTTGATCCTACAAAACCACCATATCCCCCTTTGGGTATTTCCAGCACTGTATTTCCTTGAATGGAGTCCAAGACAGATTCACATCACATAAAATTTCAACAACTTGTATGAGTAGATGGTCCTAATACCTATCAAATAAAACAAGTACTTTGAGTTTTTTCCCCTCAATCTACTTATCTTTCAAACTCTAATCATAGACAGATTTCTATTAAAACTTGTCAATTTTTGAGAGAAATGACTAAAAAGAGTTTAAAGAAATAAAGCCAAACTCATCAGCTATTCCCTCTTAGACTAAATTAGAGAAAACTAGTTAGGAGATCGTCATAGCCTTTGAGGCACGACTTGTGATTAAAACAAAAGTCCTTCCTATAAATTTACAGTGTTGGCATTTTCTTGTAGAACTTACCTCTCTCAGCAACAGGATGAAGGAAGCAAAGTAGAACACATACACCATTCCCACTAGCCAATGCAGAAACATGGTAGTACCTGGAGCTGACTGAAAACTCAGTTCTCGATCTTTCAGAGTAGCATCAAACATTTCCTAATCAAAGCAGAACAGGTGAGAGAGATCTGTATCACATCTACCAAATCAACATCTCTATTTTCTAGGAAGCGAATAAATCACTGTGTGTATGGATTATGATATTCCAGAATTACAGTTCTTTTAATATCATTTCATAGCATCACTGAAATACAAATGATAAGGTTGGATTCTACTTCAGGGATGTATAATGACACTTTAAAAATTTAAATATAAGAAGCAAGACTGATAAACTAATTGGTGAATCAGAACTTGGGATCCCTGGGTGGTGCAGCGGTTTGGCGCCTGCCTTTGGCCCAGGGCGCGATCCTGGAGACCCGGGATCGAATCCCACATCGGGCTCCCGGTGCATGGAGCCTGCTTCTCCCTCTGCCTGTGTCTCTGCCTCTCTCTCTGTGTGTGTGACTATCATAAATAAAAAAAAAAAAAAAAATTAAAAAAAAAAAAAAAAGAACTTTACTAATGCTGCTACTGTGAAAGAGCCATTTGTTAATAATACCTTCTTTCCAGGGCGCCTGGATAGCACAGATGGTTGAGCGTGCCCATTCTTGGTTTTGGCTCAGGTCTGATTCCAGGGTCCTGAGATCGAGCCCCACACCTCAGGCTCCACTGAGTTGTGCTCTGCACTTGGCACCTTGGGTTTCTCTCTCCCCCTCCCTCTGCCCCATCTCCTTTACCACTCACTCACACTCTCTCTCTAATAAGTAACTCTTAAAGAAAAAAAAACCAATACCTTCTTTCCATGATTACAGGTCTGCATTCATGACAAGTTTTTTGTTTTCTTTTAAATTTTATTTAATTTTGTTTTTTTGAGAGAGCACAAGCGCACACACACAGGAAGGAGGGGGAGATGAACAGAATCTTAAGCAGTCTCCCCACTGAGTGTGGAGCCATACGTGAGGCTCAATCTCACAACCCTGAGATCAAGACATGAGCCAAACCAAGACTCAGATGCTTAACCGACTGAGCTACCCAAGCGCTCTTCCTGACAAGTCTTAACAGTAAGGTATGGGTGAAAATGTTATCTCAGAACCAAAGGCAGCATGTTTCTACATACAAAATATTTTTGAAAAGTCGAAACTTGACTATCACTGATAGCTATTAAAAATTATAATCAGGATTAAGCATCTTAGTTAAAAGAAATGGTCAGAGTTGAATTTATTATTACAAAGACAGTCTTATCAGATTGTTCCCTTTACGTGTATAATGTCTAGGTATTTACATGTATAATATCTTGGTATATAAAATTAGGAGAGTAAAATGAGTACAAAAATTCTTCACTGGTTATTAGAGAGGTTCCAGTCAAAATAACTCTCGGCAAATTTGCATAAAGCCTCAAAAAAATCAGGTACTCAGGAAAAATTCTTAACATTAAGACTTTACAATGATGTTTTCAGGGAGAAAAAAAGCCAATTATTATCACATAGTTTCCCTTAAAAGGAGTCCATTCTAAAGACTTCCCTTTTTGATGCCTTTCCATTATTAAATTATACAATGAGTATTAAACTTACCAGGGAACAGATATCCAGCCACCATCCACAAATGAGAGGGAACACTCCAATCTCTACCACCACTAACAAAGAGACCTTAAGTAAAGACAAAGACCATCAATATCCAAACAGGGAGAAATCATTTCCAGTATTAACTTGTAACAGGAATTACCTTAACAACAATATAGCAGACTCCCAGCAAGCGACGAGACCTGTGAAATTTAACAAGAGTTGCCAACCCCTATAGCATTTAGTCAAGGAAAAATTGAATATTTAAAGGTACAAAGGAACAGGTACTTATATAGGCAACATGTATTACTTGATAGAATTTATTTTATGCTTTGTCTGCTCTCATCCTCACTACAAAGAGGTACAACTTTTACTGAGAGGAGAGAAGAGAAACAGATTTGTCCTTAACAGGAACAACTCTTTAGTATGAATAACAGTATCACCAAACATCCATGTTAGTTCATTAAAGGATACATGACAAATTATCAGTGTTATTGCTAAAAGTATATACCCAACTATGGTTGTGATCAGACCTTCAAAATGAGATGCTTGGACCTAGAAATAAAAATAAATAGAATTTAATTTTACCATATGGCCTACCTCCCAGTTTAACAATGTAGTAAATAATATGAGCAGACTCAAAGTGAACTGTTTAAGCAACTTACAACCAGAAAACTATAAAACCCCCTTGAATGACATCTCTGCAAACCAGATTCTCCTACTAGTGTTCTACTCAAACAAAATAAGAGTGAATTAAACTTCATAAAAACCAAAGTTGTACTACACTAGTCTGCACTCTATTCTACCCCTGAGAGGGACTGTGGGCTGAGCAATGAAAGGAGCAGCGCACTGTCTGGGCAGCCCACCCACCAGGTACTACTCAGTCTCACCTCCTACCCCCAGAAGTGATTGTTTAAGTTTCCCTTGCTTTCCAAATCTGTTCCATTTTCAACTTACAGAAAGTAAAAGTTTGGACAGTGACAAATATTTTAGATTCCTGAATTTGAGACAGCAAGTGCTGATAGTTTGGAAATTCAAATTATCAAAGCATGTATCTGAACCTTTCAAGTTTTTGTGTTCAACTAGCAAGAACTGAAAGCTGCACTGAATATTGGAACATATCTCCTTGCTCTTTCAGAACAATTCAGAATGATCTTTCAGGATTCACATACATAAATTGAACAGAACATTCCAGAAATATTGGTTCTTCCTTAAAAGACTAGTTCTTTCTGGGGCTCCTGAAAAACAGTTGTAGTTGACATCCCAATATTTATCTACCTTTAAAAATAACAGAATGTCAAAATTAAAATAAATTCTTTAGAAAACAGTATAGCCTATCATTCCAAGACAGACCAACCCTTTTTTTAGCTGACTGGTATACTGTTACATTTCTAAATTCACTATGGAAAAGTTGAAGAAAAGGGAAAGAAGGGAACATACAAGTTAATGGAATGGGTCAAAAATCAGCCTATAAGAAAACCTTTCAATAGTGTGCCTTTGGCCCACCCAACAGGAAGGAAGATAGTGCAACACAGGATTCAGAACACGTTTTTCTTAATTGGCAATATGACCTCGTAGGTCTTGAGCCACTGTTAGTTTAAAAAAATAATGAGATCATGTTGGATAACTATGCCTTTGCATAAGGCAAATTGAGAAATGAAGGCACTCTTTACAATACTATCGTTTATTCAACAAATACCAAATTTGGGGACAAGTAATGAAAGCAAGTTTGTAAAAGTATTATACTCACATGTTCTTCAAATCCCAAACCAACAAGGGAGAAATGACCAATGTGGTAAGGGCAAAATGCTAAAAGGGGGAGAAAAATTAAATGAAAACTTCAAAACCAAAACAATGAACGTAGTACCAACCCACAATAAAAGAAACCAGGACTTTTTGCAGAAATGGAAGATTCCAGAACTGGAGCCAAAAATGTACTGCCTAGGACATTCCCTATAGCCAGACAACAACAAAGACATCAAAGGTCTAATAGGCTCATGGCAAAAGGACAGAGGAACCATCATGAAGAGGGTCTTACAAGCCAAAGAAAGGATGATATGAGCATCAAAGAATGATAGAAACTGATGGAAATACACTGAATGCTTTACAAATCCACAAGTTCATAATACTCAAAAAGGGGAAAGCCAAACAAAACAAAACAAAATGAAACACAAAAGAAAAAAAAGCAGAAGAAAAAACACTTCCCTCATCCATGGAAATAGCACATCAATTCCTTACACCCTGAAAGCTGATAACTGGAGGGAAAGAATTGCACACCTGTCTTGCTTCTTCTGAACAAACAGGTTCAGGTTACCTAAGATGTTACTTAGATGTTCCAGTTTAAAGGAAGTATGGAGACAAAGGAACAAGGTGGTAGACGTCATACAGGAAGCAACTGGACAAATGTAGAATCCAAAGCACTCTTTAACAAATCAATGACAAACTAGGGTAGGGGTGGATGAGGGGAGCAAAGAGAAGAATATCCTAGATCAAAAGGAACTTAAACTTGGGACGCGCCTGGGTAGCTCAGCATGGCGTGATCTTGGAGTGCAGGGATCAAGTCCTGAGTCCTGCATTGGGCTTCCGGCAGGGAGCCTGCTTCTCCCTCTGCCTATGTCTCTGCCTCTCTCTGTGTGTCTCTCATGAATAAATAAATAAAATCTTAAAAAAAAAAAAAAAAAGGAACTTAACCAAAAGTAATGTAGCCCTTATTTGGATCCTCCCTCAAATGAACCAACTGTAAAATGACACTGAAGGGGCCAATCTAGGAATTTTTAATATGATGGATTGTCAGGAAATACTGCAATCTGTTAATTTAGTACAGTGTGACAATAATACTATGGTTAAATGAAAAACTATTCTTAAAATTTTCATAGTAAAAATTTTTATAGTCTCTTCAAGTCTTTCTTGTCATGTTAATAAAATTTTTTTCCTTAATAAAATTGAATTATTTTCCTTATGGCAAATTTAATTAAGTAGCATAGATTTTCAGGGAAGGAGGAGATCCAATCATTAAGACAAAAGTCAGAGTGAATTTATAGGGATCTGGCCTCAGAACCTTTTTAATTAAGTATTCCATGGGTAGAAATTTTTTTGAACCAAGTATCCCCAACATATTGGAATTTATAAGTTATATACACATTTTTTTACTAATATGTGTATTATAATATAAAGCACAAGAAATTCTTAAGGAATTAAAAAAAAACTATATGCAGAGTTTTTCCTATTTTGTTGTTTCACCCAACTCTGAGGATGACTCAAACAGGCCCCTGGGAAAGGCAAATTTTCAAGTTCCAACTCTATTTATATATCTAAATATTTGCCCGAAGCACCAATTGTTAACAATCAATTTCTATCCCATTACACAGCAACCACTAGATAAGTATCCCAATTTAAGGTTATTGGGCTGGCGAGACTGGGAACCTCAAAACGGCCAACCCCAAGCCAGCAGCCTCCCAATGACGCTGCCTTGCTGCCCTATCCTAACTTAGCTTACAAAGACCTGTAACCCTTGCCTTAACTGAAATGCCACCCTGCCCCTATCTTCCCACGAGACTTCCCCCGCTCTCTCCCTCCCCTGCGGGCTGTGGAACTTCACCCAACAGCGTCCCATTAAAAGCCTGTTTCGACCAACTTTTGCCTGGCCTCTCTATTCCATTTCACTACTGAATGGGATTAAACCTGACAAAGGTCACTTTCTCAGTATCATTCCCTTCTAACAAGGAGATAGTTGCATTTTAAGGTTCTAATTCTGCAAAATACACGACAAATGTCCAAAAATGCAGGTAGAAAATTCCACCAGAGCACTCCAAGCAGGAAAGAAAGATGTGCTTCATCCCAGTGATCATTCACCTTTAAGGGAAAATATACTCCTAAAAAGAGGAAAACTTGGTTCATTTCAAAAGATCCTAAGTATAATACACATAGATTTACTAAAACAATTTTTTTATAGTATAAACCGAGGAGGTTGGATTAGAAAAAAATTTTACTTCGATGAGATATGTTTTATATGTTACCTTTTCTACAATTCATGTAGTTTTCTCTTTTTTTTTTAAAGTTTTTTTTTAAACTTCTTAAAGTTCATTTTTTTCCCAAAATCTCTACCCTCAACATGAAGCTCAAATTCCTGACCCCAAGATCAAGAGTTGCATGCTCCTCCCACTGAGCCAGCCAAGTGCCCCACTGTAATTCAGATGTTAAAGGTGACTCTTTCCTCCAAACATTAACTTAGCATTAACGTTTTCTTTTAAGAACAAAGACTAAATCTACAGATCATTTTTCTCTGAAAGAAAATTTGGCCAAGAATCAGAACAGTTTCACACTCTCTATATACCAATTGTTCTACATAAAGAAAAAGGTATGGCCCTTTTTCCTCTGGGCCGCCAACATGCCATCCAGACTGGGGAAGACCCGGAAACTTCGGGGCCACGTGAGCCATGGCCACGGCCCCATTGGCAAACACCGGAAGCATCCAGGAGGCCAGGGTAATGCTGGTGGCATGCATCATCACAGGATCAACTTCGACAAATATCACCCAGGTTACTTTGGAAAAGTCGGTATGAGACATTACCACTTAAAGAGGAACCAGAGCTTCTGCCCAACTGTCAACATTGATAAACTATGGACCTTAGTCAGTGAGCAGACACGGGTAAATGCTGCCAAAAACAAGACCGGAGCTGCTCCTATTATCGATGTGGTGCGATCGGGCTACTACAAAGTTTTGGGAAAGGGAAAGCACCCAAAACAGCCTGTCATCGTGAAGGCCAAATTCTTCAGTAGAAGAGCTGAGGAGAAGATAAAGGGTGTGGGGGGCGCCTGTGTTCTAGTAGCTTGAAGCCACAAAGGGGGAGGTTCATTAAATGCTAACAAGTGCTTAAAAAAAAAAATTAAAAAAAATAAAAAGGTATGCAGAATAATCTGCATTTTTATGTTTCACCCCCCTATGCAAAAGGAAACAAAGAATGAGTGTCCTGTTAATTTGCACCATTTTAAATGGCTACTAAAAATTAAGCATCACTGGAACTTTTAAGACAATTTTGTTTGAACAAGATATCTGTAAATTAATTTTGTTCATATTTTATAGGGAATATGAGAAATTAATTTGTCTCTTCAAATTTATATATAATTCAGTATCTTTTTGACTACATAGTTTCCTGTTGAAGACAACTGCTTTCTGTGTTGCAACATGGTCCCCAATCCAAAGCATACTTGCTTTAGGATTCAGCGGAAGAAACTTGGGAAATCTTTATTCTACCTCCTAGGCAGGACTGGGGGATAACTCACCTGCATCAAGAAGGAATTTCTCAAAGATCATCTCTATAGAGTGATCTGGAGCCCAAGGTGCCTCTAAGAGACGCAAATCACAGCACAATCTAACAAGATCCTGTTTCTGTCAGACTCCACTTTCAATCCCTTGAGAGATGCAAGAACTGAATTTTAAGGCATTGTTTTGCTTCATTTTCTTTTATCTTTCTCAAAGCAGAAAAACCTGCCACCCCTTTCTTCCTTTCTCCATTACTCCCAAAAAAAGGGACTCTTGCTTGGTCACAAAATTCTCACAGCTCCTGTTGGAGAAGTGTTTAGAAGTAACTTTGCGTTTACTGGAATCTGGTTCTATAGGGCTTTCACACCACTTGGGAGAGGTCTACTCTCTCAAGACTATATTCATCTCTAGTGACAGCTCCCAAGCCAGGGTCTCTGGTAAGGCCTTGGGCAGGATTCTGAGAGAAGAAACAAGATCTTCTGTCAAAGGGAAAAACACACAGGTAATCAGCACAAAATCAGTTCCAGAGACAAGCTGCTGCATATCTCAAGTCAGTCTAAAATCAACTTCTATGAAAAGAGATGGAAATGCCCAAAAGAAGCAGAGACGGTAGGTAACTGTAGTTCACGTTGCTTAGGAAAGAAAAGTATTTGTATACCTGGCGTCTTCCTGTACAGGATGACTACCTAAAATTGTTTCATGTATTCCAGTGCTTACAAACAAAAATAAAACCCTCTAACAAGGCTCCCAGAAAACTGAACTCCTATCACCGTATCTTAAATAACAGCATAAACACCACTTACCAAAAACAAGAATGAACAATGTGTTTAAAGACACCACCCAGAAGACATGTTCCTAAAGGAAAAGAGCATTAATAAAACATATGGACTACTCCACTTAGGAGACTGAAATTTTCACCCCATAATGTTGAGATTTCATTACGTGTAACTTTTCATTTTTCATTAGATAGCTCATAAAAAACTAAGCCTAATAAAACTCAAGTTCATAATGTCACATGCAGGAAAAAAAAATCAATCCATAAACATTTCCTCTTCAGAAATTAGTAAGCCATTACAAACTACACAGATTCTCATAAATAAAAGCCTGATTTCATTTAAATCAAATGATACCGAAAAATTCCAAATGGAGGAAAATTTGAAACTTCCATTAATTCTGAACTTTCACATCAATGTATATCACACAGTGCTTCTTTCCAGGGTCCATTTTGTTCTTATGGCTTCTGTAAGGTTGCTTTTCTTCCTCAGTCCCTTTTCTGCCTATGGCACTCTGGTTTTCTGGCCGTTCATCCACTTCTCAATAATGTCTTATCACTTCCTCCAAGAGGACTGCTATGTGACATTACTGTCTCAGTCAGTACCCATAGCTAGTCATCTTGAAACCCAAAGCCACTTAAAAATCCCAAGTGATTTTGTATTACAGAACCCAGAAAAGAGCATTACTTCTCCTAAAGACCAGGTTCTTTAAAGAATTATTCCTTCTCTTTGAGTTGTACTCTTTACTAATAAGGTAAGGATAGGCAGGGTTCGGCAAACAGTGGAAACCTAACATGAAACTGGAAAGTTTGCTGCAAAGTTGCTCTATTTTTACCAGTTCAGGAATTAATATAGTGCGAGGTTTAAAAGAAGATCAAGTTCTTCTTAACTACCATTAAATTCTGTATTTCATTTTCTTTTCTAAAAATCAAGTATTTAATAATGACCTTTTTACCTTTGTCCTTTGCCAATAATTTCACTGCAAAAAACAGACTTTCTTCAATACATCAAGTAATCAAAAGTCTAAAAGCATGTTGACCTTTAGTATAAAAAGCCAGCACATACTACTGTAAATTTAAAGTTGCTGAATCATTGATAATTAAGTCACAACTATATTAAAAAATATTAGCTTCACTTACTAGAAAAACCAGTGATCCATCAAGTCCCAGCATCTAAAATAAGTAACAATATGCATAAATTCAAGATGCAACAGGATTTTTTTATTCTATTTAGAAAAAAGGCTCATTTTCAATTATATTTAAACATAATCCTTCCCCACTACTTTCCAATACAGCTTATCATTTTTAGAGAGTAAAAAATATTAGTTTTATATCTGGGCCTCTTTTTATTCCAAATCATATGATTATAAAGTCAACATAATTCCATCTTGGGTTTAATTCTTACATTAGATATGGAGCCAGTCAAGATTTCATGATATATCAACTGCAGTGTCAGAATAATACAATTTAAATTGTTACTTCATTTTATGGAAGTCCATAATTTTTTTGTATTAAAGGCCAGGAAATAGAAAAATAGCAATAGATTACAATATTTTTAATATTTTCACCATAAACATCACATTTCTCTAGATATTAAAGTTTTACTGCAGCTTCCATCTAATGTAGCTACAAACTTAGCATATGCATCTATATATGCCCAACTTTAACATAGTTTAAAGTTAAGGCACTAGAATGCATGATAGAAAGAATCTTACTCTTTCCCATGTAAGCTCTTCTGCAGCTCGGTCCCACTCTAAAGCATTCCAGTTCATGTCATCTGGAAATATAATAGTTGAAAGATTACTGATGAAACCTGAACCATAAATAATAAAACATATTCTCTTAATTTAGTGTTTTGTAAGCTGTTGATGAGAAGCTACACCACATCTGCTTGTTAGGTAATAACACATATACATAAATATAACAGACACATATAAGATGATTCTAGGTTGTGGTTAAGTGCTAGAAGAAAATAAACAGGATTATGTGAAAGAGGAACTTAACTGCACTGAATCAGGAATGAATCTGGAAAATTTGAGAAAACCGAGGAAGCCAGAGGACAAGAATTCTCAGGGGGTGGGGGGTGTATAAGATATGGTATGAAAGGCAGACAGGGATCAAATCATACAAGGGGGAAGGCAAAACCTGGATTTTGTTTGTTCTTTAGTATAACAGAAAAACCACTGCCAGATTTTAAAGGCAGTAGAGTACTATGAATACTATGCGGAGCACAAGTGGAAGAAGCTACTTAGGAGCTATTGTGTGAGATGAAGTGAAGGAATGATGGCCGCACCAGGGTGGCAGCAGGCTGCCTTCTTGTAGCCTCTGAACATAGATTCGCTGCTCCCTACAAAGGTCCCTTGCTCCCATTACACAACTTGTTTCTTCTCATCCTTTGTGTCTCACCTCAAATATCACTGACTCTGCGATACCTGGAGACTCTTATTTAAAATAGGCCCTCCCAACAGCATCCTCAGGAGCAAGCTGCACATTTATCACACTGTGTAACAATATATTTATTCACTTGGGTACTCCTGCTCCTTCACTAGACCAGAACTCCGTGAAGGCAAGGACCTGAGTGCCTGGCACCCAGGAGACACTCAGACACCAGCAATGTCCAGTGGACCTGGAAGCCGTGCAGTGCTTGACAGGAAAACCCTGGGGTGAGAGGAGAGAAGTGGAGGTGGTGAGCTATTGCCAGCTGACAGGCAGGCATGGTCTGGGATTTCCTTTAGCATTCTGGAGTTATACCACTAGAAAATGAGAAAATGGTTCCTTGATATCTTCTGACCTGCAGTATACCCTTCAAGAATTCTTCTTGGATATTAAAAGTTATCTTGACTCAAGAGAAATGGGACGGAATAAAATAAATCTGTATCAAATTCCTTTAAAAAAAATTATGGTCTATGACAAATAACTTCTTCCTAACCATCCTATAAAAGTCCTGAGTAGGATTTTACAACACAAAATGTGCCCTGCTTCACAGAAAAAAAATTAATACGTATGTATATCCATTAATGCTAATCTGCCAAAATAAAGTAAAAACAGGTTAGAAATAAAACTCCGAACCCATAAAATTTCTAAAACTCCCAGTTCTTCTCCTCAAGGAAAAGCTGGAAATGGACTCATGGTCATGAGGACTCATGGTTGGGAAGGAAGTGTAAGGATGGGCCAGCAGCCATTACCCTGGGCCCCGTTGTTGGCATCAGCGGCATCCTCCCCGCCCGCGTCGTCCTCCTCCTCATTGTCCTCTTCCTCCTCTTCCGCCTGCTCATCCTGAGCATCAGGGTTTTCTCCCACCACCGCGTTCTCAGCTGGTGGGTTAGCAGGCTGGTCGGGGGCAACATTTTCAGCACCATTTCCTCCTGCAGGAGCCTAAAATGACAGCAGAGCCCTGAAATTCAGCTAACTTGTCTCAGTTTCATTCTATTTCCAAATCACACTCCCCCTGTTAAAAAACAAAACTAGCACACAAACTATTAAAATTCCAAAAAATACCCCTCAAGTCATCTTTTCTATGGATCAACTCAGCATGTAAGAACATAAACAAACTCACTTCACAGCATGTATATTCATTTAGTATAATTCAGGTATTTCACAAAGTATTATAGAAAATGGGTCTAACATTGACACTTCAGGCACATCTGAAACCAGTTACTGGTGGGGTTACACAAGTTTCTATTCAAGCCAGCAGAGCAAGAATCATGAATTTAGAAAGTTAAAGCCATTACCTCTTTGGATACATAAAAACAATGTATTAAATATAAAACATGTCACAAAGTGCAAAAAAGGAGGCATTCAACAGAGTAAGAACAAGCAGCAGGCTGTCTGTCTTAACAACAGAGCAGAGAAACTCCTTCTGGAGTTCAGTTTCAGGAAACAGAGCTGCCTCAGCCAAAAAGAGGTCCAGACAGGAGTTTTGATTTATTATTACAACTAGTCAGACAAAACTCCAAGATAAACCAAGGCTCAGATTCCCCATGACTGCTGTTGGATCTTGCAAAAAAGAAAACTCTGGTTATTTTTCACATGCAAGAAGAGCAAGACCGGAGCAGCACTCAGCCAGTGAGTCCAACCCCAGTCTGATGTCTCTGCACCTGAGCTCTGAGCTCCTCAGGCAAGACAACCTGGAATTACTTCTGCACCAGCATCTCCACAATCTGCTCCTGACTATGTGAACAATGGGTCTCAGCTACTGTCCAGCAAGCTCCTATAAAGGTCTGAGGACATCCTTGGGCCCAGCATCAACCTGTGCCTGGAGGCTGCAGGGCTGGTTGGATTCCTGCATGGAATAACCCCAAGGTCTTCAACAGTCTTCGGCAAGGCTATCTGGTAGAGGCCAGGAGGCTCTTGTGGAACCTGGACCTGGGCGCCATTCTTAGGATGACCTCTGGCTCCTCAGCCATCATCTCATTTGGTGGTGACTTTATTTGATCATTCTGGACTTCTCTATTTCTTTATGTCTTTGGTACCATTTAGTCTCCATTCTTTAACTTTAGGAAAAGAGAACTGAGACTCTAGCGCAGGTGCCCCCTTGGCAGGGGACCTGGGGGTGGGGGAAACTCTTGATGAGATTCAAACCCCACAACCAACTCTAGAAAAGGGCCATAATTCTTCTTTATAAGGCATCTCCTACCTTAACTGAATGCCTCAGGGATAAACATATATTTACTTATATACCTATATGTTTACACCCATACAGGTAAGTAACTTAATTCTCAGTTATCAGTTAAACACTTGAGAAAGTTTCTAATTCCTATTCAGTAGGTAAACCTGTCCATATGGACTTTGTCAGTTCCCACATGCACCTCCTCTGGCTCTCACTGAGTTCTGCAACCTACCAAATGCAAAGACACAGTTATAGTCGAAGATTCTAAAAGAGCAACTGCATTAAATGTTTCAAAATATGAGGTACAGGGGCACCTGGGTGGCTCAGTTGGTTAAGCATCTGCCTTCAGCTCAGGTCATGATCCCAACATCCTGGGATGGAGCCCTACAGGGGGCTCCCTGCTTGATGGGGAGCC